TCATAATTTAATACATATTAGTTCAAGATCTTCATGGAATTAACTTATATAGGCATATTGGAGTGTTTAGGTTGACAATGTAAGATAAAAGCTAAAAAATATATTCTTTAACTTTTTTATCTTTATATCTAATTAATCTACTTATACATTATTGTTAAATTACATTAGGTTAATATTTATTATTAAGGTTTATATTAATTAAGATTAGATATTTTTTTATATGTTGATATATTTAAATAATTACATTATGTTAATATTTATTATTAAAGTTTATATTAATTAAGATTAAATATTTTTTATATGTTGATATATTTAAATAATTACATTATGTTAATATTTATTATTAAGGTTTATACTAAATTAAATTTTGAAGTTGATATATATTAAAGGGGAAACGGTATACTCTTCAACTCATGGAATTAATATGCATTAAATTACGATGTTAGTCCCTATAACTTTTTTAAAACTTTTTTTTAAATGCTTCGAGGAATGATGTGTACATTAATGTCAACATTTCCCAAAGAATGCGTGCTTCATGATCCATGCCTTCCGTATATGTCAGAGGTTCAACGAAAACACAGATGATAATACACACCTTCCCTTACGTGACGCCAGCTCAGATAAAATCCCGCAAAGACACAATAGTGATCCTCTCTTTATTACCACTTTATCAGAAGAGGTATTAGATCAATATTAAGAGAGATGATGTGTGATAAGTAATTAATAGGTCTAAAAGTGATATTTCGGTAAAAACGTCCAATTGCTTATCCGATAATATTTCAAAACCTTGGATATTACTCGGGGATTTCAATGCTACCCTATTTGCTGAAGATCGTAAAGGTGGGCCTCGTCCTCATCTTTTGATTCTGATTTTCAAGATATGGTCTTTCATTACGGTCTGCATGACCTCGATTACCATGGCCCGGATTTCACCTGGTACCGAGGCAACTATTCTCTTCGTATGGATTGCTGTTTGGGTAACTCTCACTAGTTTGAAAAGTTTCCCCAATCCTCTCGGCGTCATCTCCTCCGTATGAAATCGGACCACCGACCCATTTTACACTCTTCTTCTCCCGCTCTTCATGGCACCCGTCAACTGTCTTTTCGTTATCTATTCGCATGGTCTATCCATAGCGATTTTGAGCGCCTTATTTTGGACCACTGGGACCACTCCCTTCCCTTGCCTGAGATTATTGCCTCTTTTTCTACAGTTGCCTCTACTTGGAACCGTGACATTTTTTGTTCGATTGGCAAGAACAAAAAAACTCTCATGGCCCGTCTACGCGATGTTCAACGCTGCCTGGACCAACGCAGGACCCAAAGTTTGCTTAAGCTTGAATTCAAGCTTTTACAGGAGTTGGAACTCGTTCTTGATCAGGAAGAACAACTTTGGTTTCAAAAATCTAGGGCTAACTGGATTTCTTTTGGTGACAGAAACACAAAATTTTTTCACTCTAAGGCAATCCAGAAACGTTGCCAACACTCCTCCATTGCGATTTGTAATTCTGATGGCGAGCTTTGTGACGAGCCCGACCTTTTGCGAGACATGGCTACTGACTATTTTGAGGCTTTGTTTGCCGCATCCCCCGTGCCCTCTAATATCTTCTCAGTTCGGGGTTACTTTCCAACCATTTCTGATGTTGATTATCACCATCTTAATGCCAATTTGACCAATGATGAAATTAAAGCTGCTCTCTTCTTGATGGCTCCTCTCAAAGCTCCGGGGATTGATGGCCTCCACGCTCAATTTTATCAGAAGCATTGGAACATTGTGGGTGCTTCAGTATGTGCAATGGTTCATTTGGTGTTTTTGGGAGCAAATTTAGACCCGACTCTTAACCGTACGGTCTTGGCTTTTATCCCAAAGACTAATCGTCCGAAGTCTTTTGTTGGTTTTCGACCAATAAGCCTCTGCTCTGTTCCTTATAAACTAATCACCAAGATTATTGTCCGATGCCTTCAGATTGTTATGCCTTCGTTGATTGGGTCTCATCAAACCAGTTTCCTCAAAGGGCGAAGTATTACTCAGAACACTATCATAAACCGAGAGGTGATTCATGTTGTGAAATTTGGGTTAATTTCCACCAATAGCAATTCACCTTGAAAACTATTATCTAGGTGACTAGTGTGAAAACGATTGTACTAAAAATCACCCCAAGATAGATTCCCAGGAAAGAGGAGGGGTCACAATGGTTCCTCTTAAAACCCACTTTCCTTAGACAGAACTACCAAGACAAGTAATTTTAATAGGACAATAATTAACAACAACTATACCCGACAATAGCTATTAAATAGACATAAAAGAGAACACAAAAATATTTCACTAATAGAGGAAATATTACAAAGAGAGAAAGAATACAAATAGCCTTTAAAATAGAAGAAGGTTTATATTTGTGGGATGATTAACTAAGGAGGAGGAGGGCTTTATTTATAACAAAAGAATTTCCCCTCCTCCTTATACACAACCAATGTGGGACTTTTGCCAAAAAACCAACAAATCTCCACCTTGGCAAATTCCACACACATCTTCAAAAAAAACAATATTTTAATTTGTAACAATATTGACCAAGTCTAAACAATGTTTAAACTTGACCGCAGTTACCACTTTTGTCAACATATCAGCAGGATTCTCAGTGGTCCGAATCTTCTGGATTATGACTCCACTTTCTTCTAGAATCTCTCGTACAAAGTGATATCGAACATCGATATGCTTCGTCCTTGCATGGTAAACCTGGTTCTTTGCTAAATGAATAGCACTCTGACTATCACAGTGCACTTTGATGTGCTTTTGTTCCATTCCCAATTCACCAAGCAACCCTTGAAGCCAAATTGCCTCCTTCACAGCCTCTGTAACTACCATATACTCTGCCTCTGTAGTAGACAAAGCCACTGTTGACTGTAAGGTGGACTTCCAACTGACTGGTGCCTTTGCAAATGTAAACACATAACCAGTAGTTGATCGACGCTTGTCCAAATCACCTGCATAGTCTGAATCACAATACCCAACTACACACTGACCATCTTGTTTGTCCTGCTGAAAGACCAAACCAACATCTACGGTGTTCAGAATATACCGCAGAATCCATTTCACAGCTTGCCAATGCTCCTTTCCAGGATCATGCATATACCTGCTCACAACCCCAATTGCCTGTGAAATATCGAGTCTCGTACACACCATTACATACATCAAGCTACCAACAGCACTTGCATACGGAACTTTTGACATGTATTCCCGTTCTGCATCATCCTTAGGTGACATGGATGCACCGAGCTTGAAATGAGGAGCAAGAGGTGTACTAACTGGTTTTGACATCTCATTTATGCCAAAACGTTTTAGTACCTTCCTCAGATATTCTTTCTGAGACAAACAAAGCCTCCCCAATTTCTTATCCCTTGATATCTCCATGCCTAGAATCTTTCGCTTCTCCAAGATTCTTCATCTCAAACTCCCTGTTCAATTGAGTCTTTAGTTTCACAATTTCTGTCTGACTCCTGGAAGCTATCAGCATATCATCAACATAAAGAAGAAGATATATATAGGATCCGTCTTCTAGCTTGCGTAAATACACATAATGATCATATTTGCTTCTTGTGTACTTCTGCCCTATCATAAATATGTCAAATCGCTTGTACCACTGCCTTGGAGATTGCTTCAATCCGTACAACGATTTTTCTAATTTGCACACCATCTCTTCTTTTTCAGCAACTTTGAATCCATCTGGCTGAGTCATGTAGATTTCCTCATCCAAGTCTCCATGTAAAAATGCAGTTTTTACATCCATCTGAACTAGTTCCAAATCCAACTGCGCTACCAAAGCCAACAAAATTCTGATGGAGGAATGTTTTACAACTGGAGAAAATACTTCATTATAATCAACTCCCTCCGTTTGAGTGTAGCCTTTAGCCACCAATCTTGCTTTGTAGTGGATGTTATTTTTGTCAGGAAATCCATATTTCTTTGCATATACACACTTGCACCCAATTGCCTTCTTTCCCTTCGGAAGACTAGCTAGTTTCCACGTCTGATTCTTTTGAAGGGATTGCATTTCTTCATTCATGGCGATCCTCCACTTTTTATGTTCTGAACTTTGAACTGCTTCATTAAAAGTGGCAGGAATGTCATCAATTGCAATTGGTGATGCAAAAGAGACCATATCAGCATAACGAGCAGGTTGTCTAATGGTCCTCTTTCCCTTTCTGAGTGCAATTGATTCATGTTGCTGTGGAGGTTCTTGGGTCTGAACCTCTTCTTCATCTGACTCTTCTTCTACCATAGGAGAGTCAACATCAGTTTCTTTACTGGTTGGGACAAATTTGCTTTCTTCAAACTCCACCTGTTTGGGAGTTCCATCTGTCTGCTCCAATTTTTCTGAAGTCACCTTTCTCAACATGGTAGATTCATCAAAGGTAACATCCCTGCTGAAGATTATTTTCTTTGTTTCTGGACACCAAAGACGATAGCCTTTCACACCAGAGGTGATCCCCATAAAGATCGCCTTTTTTGCTCTTGGATCCAGCTTTGACTCCTTAACATGGTAGTATGCAGTGGAACCAAACACATGTAAGGAATCATAATCTATAGCAGGTACCCCAAACCATTTCTCTAATGGTGTTTTACCACCAATAGCAGTCGATGGTAAGCGGTTGACAAGGTGACAAGCATAGACCAAAGCCTCAGCCCAAAATTCTTTGCCTAACCCAGCATTAGACAACATACATCGAACCTTCTCCACTAATGTCCGGTTCATACGCTCTGCCACCCCATTCTGTTGTGGTGTACCTCTGACAGTGAAGTGCCTAACAATACCTTCCTCTTCACAGACTTTCAGAAATGGATCATTTTTGTACTCTCCACCATTGTCTGTACGAAGACGTTTGATTTTTCTGCCTATTTGAGTCTCCATCATCTTTTTCCATTTAAGGAAAAATCCTAGCACCTCATCCTTTGTCTTCATTGGATACACCCAAACTCTCCGGGAAAAATCATCAACAAAGGTGACATAATAGTGTGTTCCTCCCAATGAAGTTGTCTTGGAAGGCCCCCATACATCTGAATGAATATAATCCAAAATACCTTTAGTATCATGGATTGCTGTTCCAAATTTCACCTTTGTCTTCTTCCCTTTGATGCAATGCTCACAAAAAGCTAATTTGCAAGCCCGAGCACCCTTCAATAATCCTTGATCTATTAGTAATTTCAAGGATTTTTCACCAACATGCCCCAAGCGCATATGCCATAACCTGGTTGCTTCTGACTCCTGTTCATCAGTAGAAGCTGCCACTGCTGTTGTCCCAACAATTGTACTACCCAGAAAGTAATACACATTGTTTCTTTTTCGGATTCCCTTCATTATCACCAGTGCACCAGAGATAATCCTCATAATCCCATCTTTTGCCCTCACTTCTAAACCTTTTGACTCTAAGGTTCCCACAGAGATGAGATTTCTCATTAAATCTGGTACATAATGGACACCTGTTAAGGTTCTAATTGATCCATCCTGATTCCTCAAGCGAATTGAACCAATCCCAACTGTGTTAAGAGGGGAATTATTTGCTGTGTAGACAATTCCACCTTTTAGTTCTTTAAAATCAAAGAACCATTCTCTATTGGGGGTCATATGGTGGCTACAAGCTGAATCTAACAGCCATGAACTGGAACAGCTGGTTGATGGCGTAGCAGCGAATGCGAAATCTGAATCTCCATCATTATACTCGACCACATTTGATTCTGAGACAGCCTTCCCCCTCTCAGGTTTGCCTTTATTCTTTAGCTTGGGACATTCTTTCTTCCAGTGCCCTTTTTCTCGACAAAAGGCGCATTCATCTTTGCTCAATCTGGACTTTGACTTCGATCTCCCTCTGCTTCCTTTATTCTGACTCTTGGAACGGCCTCTAACAACAAGAGCTTCTGCTTCGACACTTGTGTTTTCTTGTTTGTCTTTCTTTCTCAATTCATAACTATACAAGGCAGCAGTTACTTCACTGAAAGACACATCAACCTTCCCATGAAGTAAAGTAGTTTCAAGATACTCAAACTCATTAGGAAGTGATCCCATCAACATCAGAGCCAGATCTTCGTCTTCAAAAGTCACGTACATATTCATCAGATCAGTCACCAGCTGATTAAAGCTAGTAATGTGATCATTCATAGTGGTACATGGTACATAGTTGAAGCGGAACAATCTCTTTTTCATGTAGAGTTTGTTCTAACCGCTTTTCTTCAAAAATTTCTCCTCCAGTGCCTTCCATAATTTACTTGCAGAAGTTTCCTTAGAAAATGCATACTTCTGCTCTCTAGAAAGACACGATCGAATAGTACCACATGCCATTCTATTGATCCTCTTCCATTCTTTCTCCTCAACATCATCTGGTTTCTCTCCTTCAATAGCAATGTCTAGACCCTGCTGAAATAGGGCATCTAGAACCTCGCTTTGCCACATGCCGAAATGACCGGTGCCATCAAAAATCTCCACTGCAAATCTAACATTTGTCACAGCATTTCTTGCCAAAATTGAAGATGAAGAAGCGTCTGCCATTTCTGCTACAAATTCTATTTAATAGTTGTCAATGCAGAATGTCAATTATCCCAAGGAAATTTTTCTGATGTGGAAGATCAGCCTAAACCGCAACCACAGAGCATACTAAAATAAACCAAGAGCTCTGATACCAATTGTTGTGAAATTTGGGTTAATTTCCACCAATAGCAATTCACCTTGAAAACTATTATCTAGGTGACTAGTGCGAAAACGATTGTACTAAAAATCACCCCAAGGTAGATTCCCAGGAAAGAGGAGGGGTCACAATGGCCCACTTTCCTTAGACAGAACTACCAAGAAAAGTAATTTTAATAGGACAATAATTAACAACAACTATACCCGACAATAGCTATTAAATAGACATAAAAGAGAACACCAAAATATTTCACTAATAGAGGAAATATTACAAAGAGAGAAAGAATACAAATAGCCTTTAAAATAGAAGAAGGTTTATATTTGTGGGATGATTAACTAAGGAGGAGGAGGGCTTTATTTATAACAAAAGAATTTTCCCTCCTCCTTATACACAACCAATGTGGGACTTTTGCCAAAAAACCAACAATTCACTCTATGCACACTAAAAAAGGTCGTTCTGGTTGGATGGCCATTAAAGTTGACCTTCATAAAGAGTTTGATAGTCTCCGCTGGGATTTCATCCAGGATACTCTCGTTGATGCGAAGCTCCCTCCCGATCTCACCAGACTCATTATGCATTGTATCTCCACTGCGAAGATGCAAGTCTAGTGTGCTGGTGCTGTTAGCTGCCAGTTTCAACCTGAGAAAGGTATTCATCAAGGGGCCTTGTTATCACCCTATATTTTTAATTTGACTATGGAGCATTTGAGTCATAATATAAGCCTCTTGGTGGATTCTGGTACATGGTCTGGGTTTCACTTATCCCGCTCTAGTTCTTCTGTCTCACATCTCTTCTTTGCGGATGATTTGGTGTTATACGCCAAAGCTGATGTTGCACATGTTATGCTTATTGATAACGTCCTTGACACTTTTGGCTATTTCTCTGGCCATTCGGTCAATAAACGGAAAACTCAAGTGTTCTTCTCGCCCAATACGTTACCCCAAGTCAGATCTGCGATTTGCGCTAGTCTCGGTTTCCAGGAAATAACTGATTTTGGTATTTACCTAGGTGTTCCAGTTCGTCACATTGGCTTGGGTAATGGCATCTATAACTTCCTCATTGATAAAATAAATGCCAAGCTTGATTGCTGGTCTGCCAGCACTCTTTCTTTTGCCGGTCGATTAACTTTGGCCAAGTTGGTCCTTATGAGCATTCTTATCTCATGCAGTCTTGTCGGCTCCTGTCTCGACTTTGTGACAAAATTGATCAAATCATTCGGAGATTCGTTTGGGGCTCTTCTCTAACTGTTAATAGTATCCCTTTGGTCAATTGGGACAATGTTTGTCAGCCTCTTGATAGAGGTGGTCTGGGCCTTCGCAATATTCGGTCTCATAATATTGCTTTCATGATGAATATTAGGCCTGTAAATTAACTGAACGTTCAGCGAACTGTTCATGAATCATGCGGTGGGAAGTTCGTTTATGTATTAAATGAACAAACATGAACAAGATTTTGTGTTCGTTTAATTAAATGAACGAACATGAACAAGATTTTGCGTTCATTTAATTAAATGAACGAACATGAACAAATGGCTCGTTCGCTCATTTACGTTCGTGAATGTTCGATTATATTTTCGTTTATGTTCGTTCATTTATGTTCATTTATGTTCGAACAGAGGGCAAGTTGAATATGTTACGAAGATTATTGAAGTTGTTTGGATTTCAAAAAGATTGTTTTGTTGAACAAATTAACTTTAAGACTTTATTATGTTCATATAATTTATTTATGATTTATGTATGTTTTTGTTGTATTCGAACAAATTAACTCTAAAGTTGCAGGTTATATTAATGAATTTTAAGTATTTATTCTTGTTGTTTACTTTTTTTTACATTCGTTTGTTGTGTTCGAATAAGTTGTTTTTGTGTGTTTGTGTTGTTCGTTTATGTTCGTTTATTATTTAAATGAACGAACATAAACAAGCTATATTCCTTAATGAACGAACATGAACAAAAAAAATATTTGTTCATTTATGTTCGTGTTCGTTTATTTATTAAATGAACGAACATGAACATATATCCGTTTGTGTGCGTTCAATTCGTTTACAGGCCTAATGAAGATCTGCCACTCCCTTGTCCAAGTTCCCCATTCTCCTTGGATTCAGCTTCTTCGGGATAAATATAAGATTGTGCAACAATGCCCAGATTCCATCTCTCGTTGGAATTGTTTGGTTTTTTGGCATAGTCTCGATCGTATCTGGCCTACCTATCGTTCCCAGGTTGCGTGGACGGTTGCAGATGGCCATCGTGTTGATTTCTGGACAGACTATTAGCTCCCACAAGTCGGTATACTACTCCATTGGGCTCAACCTGGGATCATCATTGACACCACACATAAGACGCGTGATCTTTGTCTTATGAATGGTACTTGGAATTGGCCTTTACTTCACCATCTTCTTCTACCCTCTGTTCGGCCGCTTTTGATGAACACCCCAGCGCAGCTAAACTCTCGAGATAACGTTCTCGAACAAATTATTTCACGAGATAATGCTCTCTCAATATTAATTGCTCAAATAGGATGAAATCTACGGTGTTGGCCGTAGGTCGTCATGCCATCCGGGCGACCTACTAGGTCGCCATGTCTTCCCGACGAGCTATGAGAGAGATTACATGTGCCATGCACGTTCCAATGGGCATCCGAGGCCATCCGACCGAGGGCATCCGACCGAGGCTATCCGAGTGAGCTATGCGAGGACATCCGAGGGCAAGAGGAATCACGCGAGGAGCAGGAAGGAGTGCACGGCGACCTACAAGGTCGCCCGGAGGGCATGGCGACCTATGCTTGGGGACGTGCATGGCTGGCCACGTAGTAGGTCGCCCGGAAGGCATGGCGACCTACAGCCAACACTGTAGATTTCACTCTATTTGAGCAATTAATCTTTGGAGAGCATTATCTCGTGAAATAATTTGTTTGAGAACGTTATCTCGAGAGTTTAGCCCCAACGCCCTCTGTTTCTATTGGCACGGACACCTGCTTTTGGAACGGTGCTCCCACTCGACAGTTTACCATTAAAAAGTCTTACAGCCTCCTTGCTCAAGCAAATTGGAACGACAAAAACTCTCGGTGGTCTAAGATTTGGAAGCTTGATGTTCCTGAGCGAATTCGTTGTTTTTTATGGTTAGTGCAGCGAGATCGTATCCTTTCCAATCAAAATCGTTGTGCTGGTGGTTTGATTCAAGATTCATCCTGTTCTGTTTGTGGATGTGCTGAAGAATCTAGTCTTCATATTCTTCGGGATTGCCTTTTTGCTCGCAGTGTATGGGATCCTATAACTCGAGCCAATCCTCGAAATTGTTTCTTCTCGGCTCCACTGGCAGTTTGGCTTCAGACCAATTTAGGTTCCATTCAACTTTGTTCTGTATCTGGTCTTCCATGGAAAATCCTCTTTGCTTCAATTGTTTGGCAGCTTTGGAAACAAAGAAATCTCTTTGTTTTTCAATCTTGTTCCACCTCGCCAGCAACCCTTTTGCGCCTTAGCTCCTCTTGGGCTAAACATTATTTTTTTAATTTATAAAATTGAACATGAATAAAGTATGAAATATTATAATATTTTATTGAACTAATATTTTAGATGGAGCGAGATGGGATATAAATCTGATTCACATGTGAGATTGAGAAAGTGGAGAATATATGCATGCCGACAACAAAATTGAGTGTTGGTTCATAATTCGTCACCCTCGTAGAGCAAGAAGGGGATAATTTTGAAATGGAAGCTATAAGGACAAGGATCAAGTCAAAATGTGTTTATACTACAAGTAATTATAAGTCTTCATTTTGTGTCGTCTACCATATTCTCACTAACAGAATTAATCCAGGGAAATTTGTAATCATATCATATAGATACGAATTAGATGGAGATGCCCATTTTTAACCAATTTATTGAAGAGCAATTTGGATATTAATTTATTGAAGATACCTTAAGGTGGCGTTTGGTTCGCATGAATCTCTTGGAATTAGGGAGAATTAGAATTCAATTCCACCACTTTCTCATGTTTGGTTCAAGTTTTCAAAGGGAATTGGAATCCCTCACGACTTCAACTTTCCATCAAATGAGAGAAATTGAATTCCATCCATTTTATGATGGAATTCAATTCCCTTGTTGGAGGGAATTGAAATTTGACCATACTACCCTCATCAATCTTTTAGTAACTTATTCATATATTGAATAAAAATATTTTTTTATTATTTCAGGTCGGGTTTCTAATTCATATATTCGGGTCGGGTCGATTTTTTTAAGTGTGATTTCTGGTCGGGTCAAGTAAGGGTTTAGGGTGAAAAATACCCGACCCGACCAGAAAATATATATAATTTTACCTTATATATTTAGGAATAATTACAATAATACCCCTCTATATATAATTTTTTTCAATTAAGTCATTGTTTTTATTAAATAAAAATAATTTTTTTATTATTTCGGGTCAGGTCGGGTTTCTAATTCATATATTTGGGTCGATTCGGGTGAAACTTTATTTTGGTCGGATTGGTTTTTTTAAGTGTGATATTCGGGTCTGGTCGGGTTCGGGTTTAGGGTGAAAAATACCCGACCTGACCCGACCCAAAAAATATATAATTTTACCTTATATATTTAGGAATAATTACAATAATACCCCTCTATATATAATTTTTTTTCAATTAAGTCACTATTTTTATTGAATAAAAATAATTTTTTTATTATTTCGGGTCGAGTTTCTAATTCATATATTCGGGTCGGGTCGGTGAAACTTTATTTCGGCCGGGTCAGGACTCAGATGGAGGTTCCCTTGTTCTCGGGTTGAGTCAGGTCGGGTGGACCAAAAACTCGACATAACGGGACCCATGACCATCCCTAATTGGGATGATTTTAACTTATGATGTTTATTAGCATGATTTTTATAATTTATTGAAATGAATAATTAATCAATAAAATTAAAATTTAATATTTTTTTTAAATTTTTATAATATATTGCTACATGTAATTTATAAAACAAACTAAAATTAAGCAAAAAAAATAAGAAGGACAATTATGTCATTTTACATTACTGAAATCAAATTCATCTGACATGTCTGCGAACCAAACAGAATATGAAATTGGATTCCAATTTAATTTTCTGCCAACCAAACAGAATATGAAATTGGATTTCAATTCCTGACAGATTCCAATTCCTTCACAGATTCCAATTCTCTCATAAACATTCCAGCGAACGAAACGCCACCTAAGAGATTATTAGGTCTTGAATTCAAATAACTATTATGTTTACGTTTACAAAGTGTATATATAACTACCGCAAAACTATTTTAAAAAAAAGAAAATAGCATTATTTATTGCAATGTTTTTCAAAATGTGCATTTTAGACGTGACACACATTTTTTAGCAAGATTTTTAATGTCTTGCATCATTTGTAACCATAATGAAAGAAATGAGAATAATTTATCTGAAATATTAAAAAATATACGAATTTTATTCAAAAAGAAATATCGCGCACGATACATATCAACATAATGTATTTATACGAGGTGACCGGACAATGACGACGTGCATGCATTTATTTAAGCATTTGAAAAAACCATATATAATAAACATGGGGATTTGAGATTCTCATAATCAAAACTTGTTGATTTGAAACTGGCAAAGATTAGTCTCAAACTTGATCAAACTCATAATATGACAGTCAAAGATAGTTTTGGATATTATGATTTCGAGTATTTCAAAAGACAACAATTATCTTTGACAATTGTATTGATATGAGTCTCATTAGGTTTAAAACACGTCTTTAATAACTCAAACTCTTGAGATTCTCATATCTCACATGTTTATTATATATCATTTTTTCAAGTGTTTAAATATAGACTTTTAAACATATACTTATTAAGTGATTTAAGATAAGATCTATACATGCACGCCATCACCTAACCAACTTGTGTTTGTGCTCGTCTAAATATATGTCTTTGACACTACCTACTTCATTTTTAACAAAACTTTATACAATTTTTTAACATTTTTTACTCTTTATTTTCATTTTCATCCTAACGCATACTTTGAAGATATTGTATAAAAAACACGTTACATCAATAAAAACATATCCTATAAAATATACCTTTTAAAACATGCTTCTTATCTGACACGTTTTTATTGAAAAAAAATACTACTTTTTAAATAAACTTTTTAAAATATTATTTTTTAAAAAAAATAAAAAAAATATTATTCATAAAAATAGTAATCCACGTTTAATGAATCCCCTTGCAAAAATGATGGTGCTGTTTTGGTTATCTTGTCCCAAGAGACAGGTCAGACTAATATGAACGGATTAATATAATATATGAGATTCAGTGGCAGCTGCCTGTATCTATATGCATATATGACGGTGATCGATCACCCTACAAATTAAATGTTGACACTTTGACTACTCACACGCCCACCACTCACAAACATACATAATTTTTTTTACTTTATTTTCTTCATAAACTATTTAAATATTGTTATTATCGTGCATTATTTTATTTTTTTATTTAAATTTTCTTTAAAAATATAATATTTTATTAAAAAAATTGTGTTTTAATTGACACCATCAATGTAATGAATATTAGTAATAATAGTTTAATCAATCATAGGTAATTGAATGATTTTTTCTGTATTAGGTAATATAATCAATCATAGGTTGAAAGTACTTTGTTTTGAATTTGCACAAGGTAATTGAATAATTTTTTAAAACTCGTTGATCGATATTAGTGATAAGAAAAAGTCTTAAAATTTTAAATTTAAGTAGTGACATTTTCAATAGGTACATTATAATAGAATAAATAAATTATAAATAAACATTACTTTATAATCATTTTGAATTATTTAATAATAAAATAATCTTTCAAAAAAAGGTCATATAAGATCTCCATCTTCAAGATAGAAAGGGAATGAAAGTATATGGATTAGAACATAAATTTTCAAATTATCCCTTTTAAGAAGCTATCAATTTAATGAATTAAATTTTAGAGGTATTGACTCGTTCGAGTTGGGTGATCTTAAGTTTAGATTGCATTTAGTTTAGGTTTGATTCAAGTCATGTTATTTCGAGTTCAGATTTAATTCGAGATAAATTAGATCGATTCGGATCAATATCAGATCGATCGATTCTCAGGTCGAATCAATATTGGATCGATCATTTTTCGATTTAGATCAAAATCAAATCAATTGCTTTTTGGGTAGGGTTAATATCGAATCAATTGATTTTTAGGTCGAGTCAATATCAAATCAATCATTTTTTGTTATGGTTAACTTTGGATCTTCGTATCAATTTAGGTTGGGTATGAGTCTAATTAAATATAAATTGAATTATATATTATTTTAAAAAATATTTCTTTTTGTTTGTCAATCTTATAATTTACACTCAATTTCATTCGAATTCAATCATTATTTAAGGAGAACATATTAACCCGAACTTAAATCGAATAAACAATTAAAGAAATTAGATTTATCATTTTATTATTTATTACATTATTAAAGAAATTTCAAATAAAATAAATTATATATATAATTAGATTTTAGGTTTATCATTTTTATTATTTATCACGTTATTAAAAAAGAGATGAGTTAAAATAAATTGATATTGATTTCAGATCGAATTTGGATAAATTAAGTTTGGGTGGTTTTCAATTCAAGTACTTTTGGTTTAGATAGCTTTAAGTTCAAATTGCTTTCGGTTCAGATCCATATTGGTCCAACTAAAATTTGAATTGATTTTGGTTAAATTAGATTTTTTTTTTTGGGGTTTAGATCAAATTTGAGACATTATGTTCAAGTCAATATCAAATCTCGACTCTAGTAAATTAATTCGAGTAATTGAGTTCAAATCAAGTTTGCAAGATCTATTGAATTTTGTTGTTTGAACTGTAATTATATCATAAAATTTTGGTTTAATATAAAATTATGAGAACCAAAATGAAATTTTAAAAGTGAAATTGTATGTTTAGTTTAATATAAAAATTATTTTTTAACTTGTGTCGATATTGTTAGAATTGATGACAATTACCAAAAAATCAGTTTAGTTGCATGTTGCATTTTGTATCGCAAGGACCAAAACTTAAAGGAACTAAAATTAGAAAGATTAAACTAAAATTTTACAAATTAAACTAACAAAGTTTTATAAATAATGATACATATATTTGAAAGAAAAATTGAATTTATAAGTTCATCTGGTTAAAAAAGTAAAATTTAAAATTATTAATAAAAAATTAAAATTAAATATTCGAACATAAAATTATAATTTTTAAAAATTTTACAATATATTCATAGTTCGATCATCAATATTTAATCTTTAAGTAACAATTTCACTTTAAAAAGATAGTTTCTAAAAAATTATATTTAATTCTTTATATTTTTTTTATTTTTTGTATTTTACTTCTAAAATTAAATTAAAATAATTAAAATAACATTCACTCTATTCTCTATATAAGTTTCCATTATCTATATATTTTTAAATTCTTTATCCATAATATACTTAATTTAGCCCAAAAAACATTATAATGTTGCTTTTTAGTTATAAAATTAAAATCATTATAAATAAAATAAAAGCCACTTTTGTTTTGACCATAGCAGCGCAGGCAGCACAAATACCATCATCCCTCTCCTCCTTACCGTCTTCCTACCTTGTTTCCTCTCTTTCTGCCATTATCTTTGTCTTTGGGACTTCACCATTTACCCCTTTTTCTATTTATTTCATTTCCAATTCTTTTTCCTATGGAATTTTATCTCTAAAGCTCATTCCTTTAGTATCTTCTTCTTTATTAGTATCATGGGAGCCTGTCTCTCCACCACCAAAGTTATTGGCTCAAGCAGCAAGGCCACCGCCCACCACCGCAGACAACATCAATCCTCCGCAACCACCAATGTGAAGAAAGGATCTCAAAAGCCAAAACACCAACAGGATCAGCAGCAGAAGCAGCAGGTGAGGAGTTCTCAGCCTTTAAAGGTCAAAGGGAAACCAAGTTCCAGGAAACAAACTGGGATCATCCCATGCGGGAAGCGTACGGGTTTTGGGTACAACAAAGATTTTGATAACCGATATACCATTGGGAAGTTGTTGGGACATGGACAATTTGGCTACACGTATGTTGCCACAGACAAAGCCAATGGGGATCGTGTTGCTGTTAAGAAAATTGAGAAAAATAAGGTATCTTTTTTATGCTTTTCTAATCCTTTGCTTGTTTATGCTTCTGGGGTTCTTTGGATCATTTTGACTCACTTCTCTTTTTCGTTATATCCTTTGTTTGTACTTCTCGCTCCTTAATGCTTTTTTACGTGTTAATTTGCTTGGTCTTGACTCTTGAACATGAAACATGGTTGTGGGAGCGTTTTCCTTCTCTGATTTGTAATCCAATGTGAAGAGTTCGTTATTTTCCCCCTTCTGACTGGTCTTAATTAGAAGCCTCATCGTCTTAAGTTTGGTAAAATTAGGTGGGGGATCTGTTACAACCTTGTTGAGCTATGAGGATTTTGCATCCATTATTCTTCGGCTCGACAATCTTATAACAGTTTTATAACATTAGTATGGCGATCTTGTAATAGCAATTTTGTGATAGCATGATTTGACTATCATTTTAGTTGAGCTTCAATGTGAAGCTGCAACCTGCAATCCAATATATTGTTTTTGTGATTCTAACCGACAGTGAATTCAATAGAAGCATAGAAGAATATTGAATAGAAGATGATGTATTTGCACTCAATTAACTATTCTAAATTCAATAAGTTTAACTTCTCTTGTGCTTTGCTTTCGTGGTGCGGTACAGATGGTGCTTCCAGTTGCTGTTGAGGATGTCAAGCGCGAGGTTAAGATCTTGGAAGCCTTGAAAGGACATGAGAATGTGGTTCAGTTTTATAATGCATTTGAGGATGATTCATATGTATACATCGTTATGGAGTAAGTTTTATAAATATTGTTTCTGATGTTTAGTTTTGCAAAAAAAAAAAAAAATTGTCTTTTAGTTGGTCAAACATCTTTGCCTTGGTTATATGCTTTTGTACCAATCCTTCTATCTCTTGACTATATTATGTGTTGTCTCTGCCTGATGCTAGGTTATGTGAAGGTGGAGAATTGCTGGACCGTATATTGGCCAAGTAAGGGTGCTTCATTAATCTTTGAACACTATTTCTGTATTTATGGTCAACATGTAGTAATTAATTAGTACTTTACTTCTACGGATGTTTTAATATTGTCACAACCTGTGGTAACATATTCTTACTATTTTCTATCAGAAAGGGAAGCCGCTATAGTGAAAAAGACGCAGCAATAGTTGTACGGCAGATGCTCAAAGTTGCCGCCGAGTGCCATTTGCATGGCTTGGTGCATCGTGACATGAAACCGGAGGTATGCTGAACTACATTAACATGGCTTGTTCTTTTTTGTGGTAGTCACGCCACTTGCTTATGGTTCTCTTTATATTTTCTTGCCTGTAGAATTTCCTTTTTAAGTCAACCAAAGAGGATTCACTTCTTAAGGCTACAGATTTTGGTTTGTCAGATTTTATCAGACCTGGTGAGTGGCATTTGAGTCATGTCCATATTATTTAAATTTGATGTAAATGTTTTTCGTATCTTGCTGCTTCATGTCAATATTATTTTCAAAATTTGTCGTATCATTGTGTGCCATGTTCTGTTGTACCTGTGTGCCATGTCCTACTGTACCTGTGTGCCATCTCCGTGTTTCCTAAGTTATTCTCATGCTGCAAATATCCAATCCACACAATCCTTAACTTTGACTTACTATATGCAGGGAAGAGGTTTCATGATATTGTTGGCAGTGCCTACTATGTTGCTCCGGAAGTATTGAAAAGAAGGTCAGGACCTGAATCAGATGTCTGGAGTATTGGTGTAATTACCTACATTTTGCTTTGTGGGAAGCGGCCCTTTTGGGATAAGACGGAGGATGGTATATTTAAGGAGGTGTGGTACATTTTCCTACTATGCTTGAGCATTTCAATGAATTGATGCTCTTTGTAATCCTTTATGCTCTCTTATGCATATATCCATGAGGAAAAAATCTAGAAATTTTGTTCGTCTTACTAGTTACTTTAGCTGTCTTCTTGTGTTCCCTGAATAATTATGTTTTTGCCTATTAAATCCATTGACAATTTATATATGTCAAAGTTATACTATCTTCTGGTTTTATTTATTAATATAATGTTAATGTTTTCTGGAGAATTCATGTGCAAATGTCAATAAACTCAGGTTCTGAAGAACAAGCCTGATTTTCATCGTAAACCATGGCCAACAATCAGCAATAGTGCTAAAGATTTTGTGAAAAAGTTATTGGTGAAGGATCCTCATGCCAGATTGACAGCTGCTCAGGCCCTATGTATGTGTTTGCATCTCTCTTCATATAGCCTTTTCCCTTTTTTTTTTAAGCTCCAAGGAAATGGATGTTACATGGGAAGTTTTCTATTAGCTAGTAAAGAAAATTTTCTTATTGAATTATCATTCCATTGTTCTATTGTTTCGAGAATGAATCTCTGATTGTTTCCAACTTCTCCAGCACACCCATGGGTTAGAGAAGGAGGAAATGCATCTGAGATTCCTGTTGATATCTCTGTCCTAAACAACCTGCGGCAATTTGTGAAGTATAGTCGATTGAAGCAGTTTGCTCTGAGGGTAATATAGTTTGTCTTCCTCTTGGAATATTAGTGGATTATTTATGTGCATAAGAGGCCATTGTTGTCTCCATTGTTTGTCTTGTTAAATATAATTATTATGACCATGTAGGCATTGGCCAGTACACTTAATGAAGAGGAGATAGCTGATCTTCGGGATCAGTTTGATGCAATAGATGTGGATAAGAATGGTTCGATTAGTCTTGAAGAGATGAGACAGGTAAACCTTTCTATTACATAGCTTCTATTTGGTTGCACTGAGCTTCTTTGTTTTTGTTCTAATGAAGATGGTGACGGTGCAGGCTCTCGCTAAAGATCTTCCTTGGAAGCTGAAGGAATCAGGTGTCCTTGAGATTCTGCATGCGGTGAGTACAGATTTCTTGTTTTTCTTCTGGAGGTCATTCGGTTGTAATTAGTTTTTCCTCTCGGTGGTTCTGATTGTTGTCAAATTGTTTATTTCCTATGATTGCAGATTGATAGCAACACGGACGGGCTTGTTGATTTCACCGAGTTCGTTGCGGCAGCTCTACATGTGAATCAAATGGAGGAACATGATTGTGATAAATGGAAATTGCGTTCACAAGCTGCTTTTGAGAAATTTGATGTAGATAGAGATGGGTTTATAACTCCGGAGGAACTTAGAATGGTAAGTATCACATTCGGTGATCTTTTTTCATCTCAGAACAAAGGACATAAAGTTTATCCCTGCAAAATTAAGCAAACAATAGGTTTGATTTTATAATATATAAAAAACTTGAATTCATATGTTTGTGGAATGCACTTGCTTCCCATGTAGCGGATGTAAATTGCTTGGTGTATCAACATTTTTTGTGATGAATGTTACTAGTATTGTGCTATTGTTTTGCAGCACACGGGCTTAAGAGGTTCCATTGACCCTTTGCTCGAGGAGGCTGACATCGATAAAGATGGAAAAATAAGCCTTTTAGAATTTCGCCGACTTTTACGAACTGCAAGCATTAGTTCACGGAATGTACCTTGTTCATCCGATCAACGGCGGAAGTTATAGTTTATAACAGAATGTTGTGAGGGTTGATCGGTGGAGAAACAAACATAGAGCAAGGAGAACGGAGAATTTTTTTTTCTCCAGATTTTGTGCTTTGCTTGTATCTGTGCGGAGCATCTGTCGGTCTACCTGTCTCCATCAGCATTATAGAGAAACTTATTGAGTTCTGTTAGATGGCATCTGTTTCAATGAATTCAATGCCGAAAGGTCTTGGATATAAGAGTTTGATGTTGGCTCTGGTAGCAAGATAGCTCCAGGTATATCATATGGTCATTCTGTATTTTACCCTCCAAATTTGTAACATGTGACTGAGTAATTTATCGATGAATACATTGTGCATTGGAATCCGGTCGAGTGTTTATAGTAACTTCTTCATCTCCGTCGACGAGAATATTATCATCAACATTAAAACAGTAGCTTGGTTGCCTCATTACATTCTCCTTTTGTGTTGAGTACAGTGAGCACAGTTTGTGGCGGATGAGGAGTGCAGCAAAACTCCATGACTAGCTATCCAACCAACAGCGTTGCATGTCCCTCCTGTAGATTTTATTGTCGCTGGCATTCACGTGGGCAGGGGTCTCTTTTCTCCATTCAATACAATGCCTAATAACTACCAAGCAATTGCCTCGTTATTAATGTGATTTGACAAGTTTCTTGCTGCTTCATGCTACTTTCTCTCATCTGGAGGCAAAGAAAAGGAAAGCTTGGCTGGTTATGACCGCTAACTGGGAAGTTTTTAGTCAAACTTGTCGCATGTTGAAGGCGGCTGGGCTAGTGGCCAGTCATTTTACTGCAATAATTGCATAGCCGAGATCATTCACCCACTATGGCAGGTGGGTCTATGTATGGGGACAAGCATTTGTACAGTGTCTAGTTCAATGGATTTCTATTTACTCTGAATGAATTATATTCGTGTTTATTTATTTATTTTGAAGGTATTTATATTTGATTTGTGTTTTTTTAAATTTTTAATAGTATTCATTTATTTATTTCTGAAGATGTTTATGTTTATTCATTTAACATTCGTAAAAATGATCGTTTAATGTTTTACAACCATTATTATCTCTTTATCTTTTTATTTGCAAGTCAAAGAAATATAGTGAAATGATGTCATTAGTCCTTAATTTCCTTAAGCTTCACAATTTAAACTCCTAAGTTCACCTTATGTTCAATTAAGTCTATATCTCCAATATTTAAAATGTAAAAAAATAAATCGAAAAATTAAAATCGAGTAAATAAACTTATAAACAAGTCCATAATTAAATTTATAAACGAGCCAATAAATGAGTTTGTTCGTAAACATAAATTAATCAAGCAAACATTCGTTCGTATTTGTTCGTTTATTAAATAAACATACAAACTTTTGTTCATATCTATTTATTTAGCTTAATAAACAAATATTATACAAATAGTTCGCCGACCACTATTCATTTACACCTCTAATTTCTATGTATTTTGATTTCTTTTGCTCTGAACTTACCTTTTACTCAGTAAAAATAGGTTCTACAGTGCGACACCTTAATATAAGACTAAAATAAGGCGCTATTGGTTTTGTTATTTTTTAAATAATAAAGTAGGTAAAAAATTACCGGTAAAATTATTATTTTTACCTAAAACATCATTTTTTTAATATTTTCGATCATTTTTTAGCGCCTAATAATATTTCAGGTCATTTTTTCGAAAATCCGGTTAAAACGTCCAATAATATAACAAAACCGGTCATTTTTAGCGCCTAATAATGTTTCAGGTCATTTTTTACCGATTTTGTTATTTAAACAATAACAAAACCAGTAACGTTTTTTTTAGCCGTATATTAAAACTACCGCACGTGAGCATTCCCCGTAAAAATACCATTATCGAGAATAATTTGACTCAGACAAAGAAAGAAAAGGAAGTTCTAATTTTGAATGAACTCGAGAAATGATACTGATAGTTGACTGGCATTAACGATTGAGAATTTGCAGTTCACAAACTCCTAGATGATGGAACTGATAGTTTAAGACAAGTTCAAAAAGCATTTACCGGAATTTCTGCTTTAAGACGTAAATGGAAGATCTCCAGATCAAATGCCAAAGAATACATGTTCAAGCAGAACTCAAGATGCTTGGAACTCGGAATATATCAGGAGTAGCAATTCGAACAGTTATTTACTTGTTGCACTTTGAAATATCGTCTATGTTGTTAGAGGCGTTATCCTGAGGACCTTGAGATGAATGGTATTGGCTTGAAGAGATTTGATTCACCATACTTCTCTCCTCCTTGTCTGTTTGCTTGCCTTTCTTTTCTCCAGCCGACAAATCCTGCATACGACATCCGGTTATGTTTCAGCATCCCAGAAGATCGAAACTGAGGATATAGTATAACAAAATATACTTGATTTGTTGATGAACCAGGCATTTTCAGTTCAAGTTCTGTCACTACATCGTTGGAACCATCACATTTGTCTGCAGTACTTCCTCTTTAGTCATCCATTGATTCCCTTTGGAAGGAAACACTGAAAGACGATGCACGTTGCAATGATGGTTGTTCCATTGGAGGAGGTGCTGTGGTTGAATATGGCATGAAGGTTGAGTATGGATTGGCAACAACAGCTGGATTATGATTTCCAAAAACAGGGTATAGTTGCAGTGAGGGTCGCATTGCGAATGGACCTGTAGGGACGGGCAGAGGAACTGGATATGAATAAGGTGGAGCTACAACAACAGAAGGATCAATACCGGTCCATGGGAACATGAATCTAAGCCTTTGCTGGTACTGAATGTTTAAGTTTGTGATATCAGCTTTTAAAGAAGCATTTTCCTTCCTGAGTCCAGATGTTTGGAACGAAACTGAAATTGACAAAGCAACTAAAGTAAACCGTAATCTAAAGGTTTTAATATTAAGATAATGTCACCTCACACGATTCTTCAGTAAGTGACGAACACTTGGCCTTTAGTCTGTTGACTTCGGCTGTTAAATCCTTAAGCATTTGGGTCGTATCCACGAGTACGGTTACTTTATCATTCTTGGGTCTATCCGGGTCTGCAGTTCAAATTGTGTATTCTCATAAATCAAAAACTCAAGATTTAGCAAACAGTGCAATTCACAATAATTATGCTTAAGAGAAGTGCTCTTGACGTAGGGACAAATAGGATCAGAAAATTCAAGTAAAGGAGTATAAATGTATCCATCCAACTTTAAGGAAATAAAATTTTGAAACAAAGAACGAACTCGACATCAATCCGGATTAGAGGAAATGAGTTGGACACTGCAATTTCCAAGAGATCAAGTATAATGCAGTTAAAGAAAATAGAAAAAGCTTCCGAAATAAACTTCAACGTTTCTGCACTTCCTGAATTGCTTATGTTCGCCGAACGTTTTACGCATTTACGCACATTGCTAACTATGTTAAACAAATTTCAAGACTTTCTATCAGCAGCTTCTAATTTAGCCAAGTTTAGTAGATGTCCAGAACTCAACCATGATAATTCTAGTTAATAGGCATTCAAAGTTTTAAATTGCTTATCATCAAAGCAACAGCATCCGTAACTATTGACACAGCATCGAACTTCGAGTTAGACAGCTCAAATTGTTACTGCACCAGAGACCACATTAGTTACTCGAAAGGCCGAGTTTTCCTAGTAACAATGGTAAATTCATTGCCATAATTTTACCTAGTGTGTTCCCCAACTCAAGAAACTACTCATTCAGCCTGTCCCTCCTCAATTTTTCACGGTCTGCCTTCTGAGCTTTCCTTGCAGATATGGAATCCTTACCTTCCATATCCTGCCTTTGCCTGCCAAATAAACAATGGATATCCATCACAATCAACAAATAACACACACAGAATACCGGTAGTAAATCAGTAATTACTTTCGGTTGTTTAGAGATCGAAGGTTGACCAAGACTAAATAAGTATGGAAATTAAACCGTGGAATAAGCAAGAAAGAAGAAAATTTTAACACAAAGAAGGAAAGAAAAAACCTGAGTTCTGGGTCTGAAGGGTCAAAATCTGCAGCCACAGCTTTAGAGAAATCGTTAGGCTTCCATTGATGATGATCCATTGCTGATTTAAATCAGCTCGCATTTAAAGCTATATAAATCAAGCTAGGGTTCAACACTGGTTTTCTTTTAGAAATTAGCTGATGATCCAAAATTCTCTTTTCTTCTTCTTTTGGTGAATTCTGAAATGGGGAACGAAGAGCAAACCACGACAACACTAACTTGTGTTCTACACGAGCCTCGACCACGTGCCGAAACCTATTCGTGGGGCCTGGACTTAATTAAATTCACAAAAGGCAGGATTTTCAAGTGGTTAGCATACCACCGTAAATTTCCTAGGATCCATTTGACTTTTAATTCAGAGTAAACTATACATTTAATACTTAAACTATCAATTTTAATACATTTTAGTATTTAAACTTAAAAAAAAATTCATTTTAATATCCTTCGTTATTTTTTTTATTAAGCTAAAGGTAATTACAAGGTAATATATGTTCTAAGTATTCTCAACCATTTGATAATGAACGTTCAATCACCTTTGTAGTTGTTAGTGCTCGAACCCATGACCTCTAGGAACAACAATGATTCCTTTAACCACTTAAATAAGTTGATTTGTGCTAGTATCCCGCTGTTAAGTTTTGAAAAAAAATGAAAGTCTAGGTACCAAAACACGTTTAGTACCAAAATCATATTTAAGTTTTGATTATTTTTTTGAAAATTTAGGTACTAAAATAGATCAAAATTGATATTTATGTACTAAACGCATTAAGTTTTTAACGACGAGTATTAAAATGAAACAAAAAGTTAAGTTTAAGTATGCTTTTAAAACAATTGAAAGTTTAGGTACTAAATGCGTAATTTACCCTTTAATTTAATTGATTGAAAATGTTATAGGATTAATCGCAACATACAGCTCAAACTATGAGATGGATTCTAAATTGATCTCAAATTATAATATTTTAATTAAACCTTTAAATTATTAATATTATATCAGTTAAGTCATCCTGTCAGCTATAAGTTAAACTGAATTTAAGCAATAAACGCTAAATTGAAGATGAGTGTATGTATTTTTAAAATATACTGATCAAATTTTAGATACTTCTACACCCATCAAATACACAACTGAAATATAAAATATTTAAAGAAAAAGGAAATAACATTAAATTTTACTGAGGATTTTCAATCCTTGTTTTCTCTCTTTTTTATTTTGTCATTTTTTTCTTCATCTTTGTAACCAAAGACGACACCAATTTTAGTAATGGTCGTCAACCGCAAATATTCATTATTTTTTTATTTCATTATGTTGTTTTATTTTTTTTTTTCAATAATTCTGCCTTTATGGCACGTTTCTTCTGCCTTTCGAAACATTTTCGGTCGTTTAGTCTTCATTTTCGTTTATCCTTTTTCCCATGGCTGGATTTGACATCGTCACGACTGATCAAAACGACATTTATTTGTTATCATGATGATCTTCCCTACTTTGGACCGTCAGATTGGATTTAAATACATAATTTAGGTTTGTAGATAGTTTTCTCACGTCGCTCGATTATGATTTGCAATTTATCAGTGGTCTTTCAATAGTTTAATCTTTTTTTGTGATTCGTTTACTGATGCGTCAAATCTATTCGTATATACCCTTATTTTCTCTTTTTTTTTCTTGTGTCGCTGTTAGTCTTTTTTCTTCTTCATCTTTATAACCAACGACGACACTAGTTTTAGTGCTTATCTTCGACCGTTGATATTCATTATTTTTTCTTTATTTGATTATGTAATACTATGTGTTTCAGTTTTTGGTTGTAATTGTAAACCTTCATTGTAATTTAGATATTTTCTATTTTTAATAAAACTAATGACTTCTATCTAAAAAATTAAATTTTAATGGAACTATCTATTTTTTTGAACATATTAAGTAAAACTTGTCTAGGCAATAAGTATACAAGCAGAAAAAAGGGGCCAAATTAAATTATAATTCTTTTGGGGAGTCAAGGTGCAAATTTACCATTACACCAACTTACAATTCATGATTTTAAAGGGAATCGAAAACAATGTCACCATTTTAAGAGTCAAGGCCACTACTTGCCCCTAGCTTTACCTATAAGTATAAACACACTTAAAATTTAATATACATATTTTAAATTTGTTCAACTAAGATCCAACCTACAATTTAATGTTGAAGTTGACAATTATGGTCAATAAGAATTTGAATGAAACAATACGAATACCTTAAGAAATCAATTAAAAAGAAATTAAAATTTAAGATTAGCTTAGATGGATCAAAGAAAATTTGTCTTCGTCAATCGACAATCCTATGTGGATCAAAGATGGGAAATTTTCTTTATCAATAAACTATCTTTTCTTTCATTCATTCAAACTTATACCTAAACACGAACCCATTGAACCATCTTAACGATAAAAGTTAATATTATTCTCTCTAAAGATCCTGAGTTCGAACAGCTGCGTTTGCAGGGTATGTGCACTTTATCAATGATTAAGAAAGATTTAGAACAAATATTGACTTATAATCCAAACCAAACTATTAAAGAAATTATGCCTAAACCCTACACCTATAGGCATCAAGAGTTGTAAAAGTATCATAGAAGTATTTTGTATCCCATCTCATTAGAAACATTGAACCGTAATCCACCTGAAGACTTAAAGATAATGTCACTTAAATAGGTTGGGTTAATTTAGGTTGAGTCAATATATATTATGGTAATACATGTTTAATTTTTTTTAGATTTTTCAAATTTCTGCTTAAATTTAGGGTGAACAGGTTTAAATGAGACGGATTCAAATCGTTGATATTTATAAATAAATCTTATTGATTAGTTAAGATTTTTAGAGTTCGAATCAAAATTGACATATCTAAACAATTAATTGTCATTTTTCAGAAATAGAAACATCAGTTAATAGTAACCCATTTCTGGGTCATTGTAATTACAATGAAAAACACAATTCGCCGCGTCGTATTAATCAATAATCATGGCTGAGTAATTTTCTATAAATGATTAATGAGCTGTTTCCTGCCTAATAATCTTTTAAAATCTACTTTTAAGTGGCAACACTTCTTCGAATCATCTATCCTCTCTAATGGAGTCTTCTTCCAATAGCCCCACTCTATACAGTCACAGATTTCTGCTCACAGATCATATCTCACCTGATTACAATCACCATTCCAGAAATATAAGATTCGACCGCATTGTTTTCGCAATCATGGTAGCGGCAATAAGTCTCAGCATCATCTTTTTCATACTCTTCAAACGGTTTTGCCGATCGGACTGCTCTTCGGACGAGAATCCCACCGTGTCTAGGCCGTCCGTAGACAGCGAACTCAAGCAGATTCCCGTCCTCGTATATGGGGAATCGACTTCGGAGGTCGAAAGCTGCGCTATATGCTTGGAAGAGTATGTGAAGGGAGAGAAGGTGAGGGTGTTGCCGAGGTGTAAGCACATGTTCCATAAGGAGTGTATCGAAGAATGGTTTGAGGTTCCGTCTTTGCATTGTCCAATTTGTAGGGATCGAGTGCTGGAGCATTGTCTACAATCGGCGAGGTCTGATAATTGCAGGACTCAAAGGCATCATAGTGATAATCAGCTTCATCCATTGGCTCTCTATGGTACTGGTATACGTAATACATATGTCTAATTCTTTTTTTATTATTATTTTTTGATCGGGATGAGAATGGATTCTTCGTGTATCGAATTCCAGACAAGTATTAATTCAAAACTGGAATACAAGTTCTTTATTATTTTGATAATAAACTCGAAAATCAACACTTTTTTAAATTTTAAAAATGGTTAAACAATTATAATATTGACCTCTAATTTCTTAAAAAAAAAAGACATTAAGATGTGTTTTGCTCTAGAAAAATAGAAGTTTTTATTTTTTAGAAAATAAAAAACATTAAAAACATACGTTTACTTGTAAAATTAGAAAATGATTTCTAAGAAGTGATAGAATCAATATGTATTATGTGCTGAATGGGAAATTTTGTAGGGGTGCTTGTTTTTTGTTGGCCAGACTGAGATTCTGGTGTGTCTGGTTGTGGTCTGTGTTGCGCTGGGACTTGAAGCCTGGTGCGGTTGGCTGTTGTAGCAGCTTGACTTCTTACTTTAGATAAAATATAAGCATAACCTACTTATAAAAAATATGTTTTGAAATTTTGAAAAATAAAAAAAACACAATATTTAAGTTTTTAATTTAACTTATACGGTTCAAGTTTTTCTAACAACAAATTTCTTGGCTTAATAATATTTAAGGCTGTCAAATTTTTACAAAAAAGAATCAATGTGACCCTTGAATTTTTCTTACGCTCATTGTAGCCCTTAAATTGAAAAAAAAATAATGTAGCTCTTTGATCAAAGAAATCAAAAGTTGATTATTATGAAACTGACGTGATGATTCATGATGCTTACATGGCAATCTATAGTAGATGATGATGTGACAAATGGACTTAATTTATTTTTTTTATCGAATTTGAGGGTCTAAATTTTAAAAAAAGTTAAATATAAAAATGCTAAAAATAAAATTAAAATTACTAAACATTTAAAAACACTATTAAAAATTCTAAAATATATCATAAACGGTAAAACAATAAATTATTAATTATTATAAAAATATTAAAAATCATATATTGTACATAATATATACATGTAACATATATATACAAAGATAAATTAAGCATATTCATATAGTCCAATTAACAAAGCAAACATGTTTTTAATTTCATATACTATATATCAAACCATTACAAATGTCATATACTTTTATATCATGCACGTATGCATACTAAATATGATTTTATTATTATACACTCAGATCATCAACGTGTATACAAAATATCGTAAGTTATTCACATCAATACACACATAATAGTTCAGACAATTTTAAGAGCTATTCTCAAACTCTTACACACCGTACAACAATTTAGTATAAAGCACACTTATATGCATCAATACACTTATCATGCTTAAAAAAACTAAAATTTTCTCAAATCTAAAAAAACCCCAATATTTTAAAAACTTTAATTTCAATCCCTATACACACCACTCGCCGTGCTTTGTTGCCATCATTGTCGTCGACCGAATCTACCTACGACCGTGCCTCCACCCGACGAACAATCATTGATGAGCCCCAATCACAATTTAAACCATACGAGTGACAAGAAAAAATCGTGAAATTTGTCTGACCCAACATCGCGAAAGATGAAAAGGATAATGAAGACCGAAAATGGAGATGACAATGGCGCCATCGGTGGCGGCGGCCACGGTCAACAAGGGAGATTATAAAGTTAGGGTTAGGGATTTTAGAGATTTGAGACTTTTTTGTGACTTTAGAAAATTTTAGAATTTTTTAAATATAATAATATTTTAAGTTTTTTTAAAATTAAAATTTAAAAAATTAACAAAACATGACACGTGTTATTTAATGAGATTTTTTAACGCCATCACGATCGGGGCACTTAAAATAATAACGTTTGTAACATTATCCACCATTAACCGAAAAAAATAGACACCTAAATGAAAGAAACATATAGTTTGGATGCTTTTTTATATTAAGCCTTTATATTAACCAAACATGTTTTATAAAGTTTAAAAAAATAAAAAATGTTTTTAAAAATAAAAACAAAAAATATATTTAAAAGCCAAAGTAACCTTTAATTTTTTATGTTGAGGACAAAAATTCATATAAAATTTAATATTATCAAATAGAATATTTAAATTCAATGAAATATCAAAGTATTATTAAAATCATTCATATTAACTAAATAAACTCTGTCATATTGGCTTGATTATATGTGGAAGTTGCCAAATGGGGGATCAAATTGGGCTATGGTTGAACGGCCACAGGCAACTCGGATGTGTCTGTAATATTATTAAAATATTAGTACTAAATAAAAGAAATTGCGCAATGTACATACACCAAGTGTACACATTATAGTATAATATAATATGTGACCCTTGGTTGCCTCTACAGCCTATAGCTTGGTAAGTCCATTAATTTATGACTTCCTCATTGACCAACTATTTCCTACACTCTTCATGAGTAATAACATATTGTTTTGCTAAACAAGCGTATGCTAGACCCGATGAAACCACCGTTGAAATCCACTATGATTGCATTTTCAAAATTAATATTAGAGCAAATGTTGAAATTTATTTTTATTATTTTAATCAATTTTCACTTTAATTTTCAATAAAAAAAATTTGTTCGATTTCTTAATTTTATTATATTTTGTACATGTTTGTTTACTTTTTTAACATATTTTAACTTTATTTTTGTAACACTCTTTATTATGATATTATGACACGTTTCTTCTATCTCATAACACGTTGTTTGCTTATCTTTGAAGCAGATATACGATTGTGTAGAGATTCTCACATCGCTCTTATCTGATTTGTAATTGTCGATAGTCTTTTAGTAGTTAGATTCCCTTTTATAGTTGTTTGTCGAAGTATTCAAATTTATTTTATGAATCAATATTTAAGTTTGCTCTAGTTCACTCGCCACTCCATCATCTTTAAAGTGTCTAGATGGATAGAGATAAATGAGAACTATTGACGATTACTGAATTACTATAGATGATGGGCGTCAGACTCAAAATAAGATTTTGATTGTTAATACACCTTTAAATTTTTATTTTATTTTATTTTATTTTTTATTTTATTGATTACATAATTCCTAAAATTCTTTCTATAATTAATTACATTATATCCTCTTTTGTTTTAATAGAATTTAATATCAGAGGTTAAAAACGTTTTCATATGTAACCTAAAATCTATGCGTTTGTAAAAGGCATAGTCTGATGATTTCTCACGAGCAAAACGAATAAAAGAAATATCTTATGTATCATCATTATATCATATGTTATGTATTGTTTTATCAAAAATATATTTTTGAATGTAAAATAATATGAACGAAAAAAATAATATTAATACATTTCAATTTTATAATATAATATTTAAAATGTATTTTTAATCTTTTTAAAAATACTTTTTTACATCAATCATAAATAATTAAAACTTAAATCAATTTTTAAAAAATATTTTTTCACATTACGTTTATATAACTTTTAAAATACTAACCTTAAATATTAAAAAAGTTAAGACACCAAAAGTAACCGAAGTTTTAGAATAAACAAAATGATCACTAAGCATACTTACATGCAAACATGATTGGATGGTTGACTCAATTAATAATTTCTAGATATCCTAAGTATTGTGTATATATATATATATATATATATATATATATATATATATATATATATATATATATATATATATTTGTATTAAATTTTGAATTCAATTTAAATATTTTTTTATTATATATATGTATAACTTTACTATTTATTTAAGTTGTCTTGTTTTCCTTTTACCGATTTAATATTGGAGCTCATCTTAGAATATAAATTTCATCATTTTTCCAATTCACATTTGTCTTACAGGAACCTTAAACCTCCAAATCGTGTCCATATACTTCAAACATTCGTCTTTAAACTCATCCAATGACATTAACAATAAGAATAATGTTAACACTAATAACAACAAAGGATACATGATGAAATGACTTTCATAATACATTAAATGACTAAATTGATAAAAGACAAAAATAAGTAATGGGAAACACGTTTTGTGGCTTTTTGAGGGTTTATTTTTAAATTTTTAGGATAATGAAGAATCAAATGGGAATAAAAAATAAAATCCAACACTAAAAGTAGGGATGTACCAAGAGGGGGCGGGTGGAGGTGGTCGTCCCCTTAAAATTTTAAATTCTTATATATTTTAAATATTTTTTTATATTTTCTATTAAAAATATGTTTTCGCCCCTAAATTTTTTAATATATTAAATTATATTGAATGTAAAATTTATATAGAATCCAATTGAAATAGTCCTAAAAGCTTTCATATTAACATCTTTTAAATTAATATTATTTAATAAAATCTATTATAAAGACAATTTAGTAAAATATTAACTTAGGTAATATTATATTTTGTTCAAATGAATCAAAGATGATATTTAACATTTTCATACAATGCTATTCTTAGAGGTAATTTTATATTTCATGAGCCAAATATCTCATATATCCAAGATTTGATCTAAACGTTACAGTCGAATCTAAGATGTAAAAAACTTAAAAAGAAATTTCTTTTCACAAAATGAAATCCAAAAAAAAAAATTATTGTCCGGTAAAATAATTACAAAGCAACAACTGTAGAACATAATATAATATATGAAAACAAAAGTTGAATAAATATAAAAGTCTTCGAAGAATGTCGAGTTTTAGATTAGTAATCAATATCAATATAAAAAGGAAAGAAAACGGAGAATAAACTATAAAGCTTAGTGTAGTCTCTAAATGTGTAAAAATAAACAAATTTAAGCATGATAGGCTAGTAAATCTTATCTACCTGTCCATTTGTTTTTCTTTACAAACAAAGTTTCTCATGATTCAGTAACACTTTATTTCTCCAACAACTATATTTCAATTCGATAAATATAATTTTCTAACATTAACTTATATACATATTCATTAAAGGCTGAATTCAGAAAAATATAACAACCCCACCAATATAACTTTCTAACCTAAACACGCCCATGTGTAATAGTAAGAATTTTGTATACAAACTATTGGTCTGATGCTTAAAGTTTGATTTTTTTAGTTATTTTATTTAAAAATTAAACAAAAAATGGAAAAAAAACATTTTTATATTAAGGTTAAATTTTCTATAACTTAATTAATTAAGTTTGCGTTATCATAAATCTAAATGCAATAAACGTTACTTCTTGAATTTCAATGGTGAATTTAATTTTTTTTAAAATTAATCTAAAAATCAATTTTATTGAAAAATTAATGTATCAAATATCATCAAACCTTAACATTTTCTTTGAAAATATAGTAGTTATTTACTTAATAAAAAAGGTTATAATATATATATATTATTCTATTCTACTCATGAATTATGATGAATAATATTTTTTTCTTAAAAATAAAGAGCAAAATAAAAGAAAACCGCCATATGGCAGAGTTAACTGGGAACCAGAATTCGACCAATCCAAATGTCGGATAAGCTTTACAATAATTTGCTATTAATGAATAAATTAACCATAATTAAGAAAAACTAAATATGCCTTTTTCTTAAAGAAAAACTTCCGTTACTTTTGTTCTCCCTATATATTCCCCTAACCCTCACCATCGGTTTCTCGAAACAAAGACGTTCTATAACCGAAAAATTCGTACACCATGCTCTCTCCCCTTCCCATCTCCAACTCTCTCCCCGGTTATTCAATTTCTCCTCCGTCAACTCCTCGTGTCAGACTCCGGCCAACTCTCGCTGCCTCCTCCGCCACCGCCACTTTTACTTCAAACCAACAAAAAGCTTCGACTTCGAGCGGTTATCTTAGCCGTCCAGGAATGGCATCTTGCACGTCGTTGTACGAGGTGCTAGGGATTTCTGTCGGCGCTTCGAGCCAAGAAATCAAGGCCGCGTACCGCCGATTGGCGCGGGTTTTTCATCCCGACGTGGTGGCAATCGATCTGAAAGACTCATCGGCCGACGAATTCATGAAGATCCATGCGGCCTACAGCACTTTATCGGATCCCGAGAAACGAGCGGTATATGATAGTAAGCTTACCTGGAGATGCCAAAGGCCGTTGACTTTGGATTCAAGTTTTTCAGGCTATACGGGGAGGAGCTGGGAAACCGATCAGTGCTGGTAAATGTGTTGACTCACTTCATCATGGTACCGAGTTGGAGGTTGATCTCATCTGCGATGTTTTTCAATACTAACGAAAAAAAAACCAAAATGAATGAAGGGTGGGTTTTGCTAGAGAAATCAGAGCCGTTGAGTTAGAGCTCTGCTCTTTTTTTTCGCCTTTGTACTTGGCTGCTGATGCATAAAGAAGAAGATATGAATCCTTCAATTCTACTGTTTCACAGTAAATAAAATCATAATTACTAAATGAAAACCATTTACTGGCAATTCAAAAGCATTTCTTCTTTTTCTGCCATTTAGATTTTAATTTTAAAAATAAATAATAAGATATTTAAAAATATTTCTTAAACTTATAAATTAATTAGTGTCACGGGGTTAGACTATTGGCTAGTTGGTCCGTGCGGCCCTTAAATGTCTCGCTCGGTTGATGTTGTAGCGATAAGCACAATGAGAAAACATTGAAAACGTAAGTAAACGTATGTAGAGAAACTTTTGGCACGAATGTCTAAGTTTATTCACACAAAACTCTCTATATTCATTGAAAGTTGAGAGACCTCATTTTATAATGAAATTTCCTTACATTCAATTACTAAACGTAGTTTAACTACATGTAAAACTATTACTTTAGTTAAAACTCTCATATTTAAGTCTTATTCAAACAAAGACTATGTTATTTGGCTTATTTTTCAAGTAATGTCAGGCCTTGCTAAGTAGACAGACCTTAAGTTGATGCTGATCTTGGCCCCCCAGTGCACCCCGATGTGCGCTGCCCTCACCCCTAAGTGGCCTCATTTGTGTGCTCGTCTCTGTTCTAGGCGCACACCCGGTGTGCGTTGGCTTCGATCCTTGGTGTGTCCTTTGCGTGCCAGCTAGAGCCCTCGACACACCCTGATGTGCGTCGGTCTCGATCCTAGACTTTTCCTGATGTGCGACGATAATGCTTGTGGGCAATTTGGGGCGGGTGTGTCTTGGCCCTGTGCGGCATTGTGTGCACCTTTATCTCGGTGTGGTCCTTGTGGGCTGCTTGGGGCGCGTATTTCGTGCCCCTTTGTGTGTCATAGTGGGTGTTGGTATCGACACCACGGTGTGGATAGCCTGCTTAGTGTTGGTTGCAGCCTCATAGGCTGGGCAGTTTGATGTAGGCTCACCTAACCTATAAGTTTGCGGCCCGTGACATTAGACACCTATCTTTATAACTTAAAACCAAATTTTAAAATGAAATATTATCGTACCTCCAAGAAAAGAAACATTAAATTCATATTATATTTCACTTGTTGACAGTTTTTTCACAGTTTTCCTGTGATATTATTTTGTTATCTGCTACTTTGGAATATTTAACCTTATAAGGTGGTCCTATTTCACATGCCCTATGCTACTCGAGTCATAAGTGATAACGGTTAACAGGACTGTTATTCTTTTATGAAGTTTTGAGTTGGAGTAATTGTGTCTGTAGAATGTATGTGTGTTATCAATGATTAAAAAAATCATGAACAAATATTGATTTATAATCGTCTTATATTATTTAAAAATAATAATATATTAACCCTCATTTTTTGTTTATGTTTAAAAATCTATTTAGAAATTTTAATTTCACAGTTTTAACGGTTTAGGGTTGGACACAAATCTTTTATTACTATTTTGCACAAGTTATTAAGATATGTAAAAGGCAGTAAAGACTTATTCCATACGTTTATAAATAATGACTTTTGTGGGTAAAATAGTTCAGCGAATTTCATGGCATAAACCTGTGTGTATTAGACAATATGTAGGCAGACTCATCTAACATTCATATACTTAAAGTTTCTTAATAAAATGTACATCACACGATGACACATATATAACGTATTTATATTAATTGAATTGAATGATTATATTCTGTTTTAATTTAATTATAAAATATAAAATAATTAATGTTTTGATGAAAACTAAACCCAAATAATTTAATATTGAAATTGTACTTTTACAATTTTGAATTGAACTTTTGTAAAAATCCAACTTTAATTACTTGATTTTTTTGGGGTTATTTTGATTTGGTGATTAAGGGCATAAACATGTGTATTAGACAATATGTAGGGTAGGGCAGGGTAGGGTAGGGTAGGGTAGGACAAGATAAATGGAATGCAGTAGTTATCTGTTCCTCACTATGCCTTATTGTTTATTTATTTAAAGGACACAATGATGATTGTTTCTAGAAGACATCCATTCCATGAAACAAGTCAACAGCACCGCTGCCTTTATTCCAGCAAATTTTGACAACACATCTTTATTTTTAGGGCGAAATCAAACTTCCTCAAAATCTCAAGCTTATCACTGTTAAAAGGGAACAAGAGTCAGCAAAGTCATTCTTTTTTTTCTTTTTGTCAATTTTGGAAATATTTGTTGCATTATTGCAGTCTGATCCAGTTCATTGTTACTCGTGGAGTACTGCTTCCAATAATTTCCTCCAACATTTATCTTCTCACTACGGGAAAGGGAAATGTTTTTGTGTTAAACAAAAATTTTCTAAAAATCATCAAGTGATCTCAGTAATGAATGAAAATATTATTTTCTCTAAGAGTTTAAGTTGAGTAATTGTATCTACAAAGTATGTGTGCATTGCTAATAATTAAAAAATATTCTAAATATATATTATCATGTAATCATCATAAGCTATTAAAAAAATATTGTCTAGAAAATGGATAGTTTTGTTGTGCGTTAATCTAATTTAAGACGGTTTTAATATAAAATGTTATCATATTCAACCTAAAAAGTTATATAATTTTTAATACTTTCAGTTGCGATCGAAAATGTTATATTACGTTGAGTTTAGGGTTTACAACTGAAAAAATTATACAATTTGTAATAATTTCAAGTTACAACCGAAAATGTTATGAAAAATATAATATTTTTTATTTCAACATATTATAGCCTGTAAAACCTAAAAAGCAACATTTTTTTTGTAAGATTTTTAGTCGCAATCGGTTTATGCCACTTTTTAACCTTATATTAATAAGTTATATTTTAGACTCTTTTATAAAATATTTAAAATTGGAATTTGACCTTGTTAAATTGTTTAGAGTAATATTATAAATAATCAATAAATTATGTTGTAATAATTTTTTTATTATTAGAAGTTTAGAAATTATAAAATAATTATTAAATATATCAAATTGTTATATAATTATTCTTAAAATCTATTAAATTAGTCTAGAATAATCATTAAAATTTATTTTTTGAATGTAATAAAAATAAAAGCTTTAATAACTAGCTGAAGCCTTTAAGTAAGAGGGCCCTAAAATGTCCCTTTCAAGCAGAGGCACGACGGTAGCAGGTGCAGTGGGAAAGGAGAGCAGCTCATAATTCCGAACAATAGGAAGTTTGGTCATTCCATCAGCAGACATGTTTCCCTTGCATGGAACCCAAAGGAATTCAGTATACCAGCTACGGCAACAAAGTGAGGAGATAACTCGAACTTGCGGAAACAAATCCCGGTCCAAATTGGCCTCATTAAGCAGCTTAATGACTTGTAGATTATCCGACTGTATATGTAATAAATCGATAAATGTAATAATTGTTTTATGGTTTTGAAAACTTCAATAGTAAAAACATCATATCAAGATAATTTATTGATCATTTGTGTAGTTCACCTAATATTTTATTTATTCTCTTCCGTTTAGGATTTAAAAAAAATTACATAGTTTGATTTGATTAGGATGTGGTAGGGTTTTTTAGCCCAATAATCCAATCGAGTGGATTATTTAGCTCAATAGGGAATCCATAATTTTATTTTGGAATCTACGACAAATGCTATAGTGTCCACGGAACTCGTCATGTCGGCGTCCTGAGTTTCATGTGATATATTTTTTAATGGGTCGTGTCACGTGGATCTCACTTCCCGAATATATTTAATATATCCTAAGGGACTCGTCATGCCCGTGTAAGGAGTCCCAATAAAAATAATTTTTTTTAAATTTTAAAAGCATTGTAAAAAATATATATTATTTTAATGCTGAAGGAACTCGTCACGCCGGTGCGACGACCAACGGGTATAATTTTGAATTTGTTAACCGTTGGATTGACCGTTGTTGAACGATCATTTTTAAAAAAAAAACTCAATGGAACTCGTCACGCAGGTGTGACGAGTTCAAACGACTATTTTCAATTTGAAAAAACTAGCCGTTTATAGGCGTTGGGTAGAGTAGTATAAATAGATGTTTGGGTTGGATTGATTTTTCACTTGGAATCAAACATTTTATTGAGAGTAAAAACTTTTGTGTTGAAATGGCCTAAGAGTAAAAAATTTTGTGTTGAAATGGGCTTAAGAGTAGTATCGGTACCCCTTTGGGTATTTGTACCTATTTTGTATTCTGGAATTTGAGCAGGCTAGTGTATCGATACTACCTAGATAGTATCGATACTTCTCTTACGTAGGGTATCGGTACCACATGAACATTATTGATACTGTTCATATAATATCGATACTGTAAGAACAATATCAATACTTCATACGTGAAAATCAGTTTTATGCTCAAATTCACTTTAAATAGACTTTGAATTATTTTTGAAAACCTTTGAAGACTTTGAACAAATTCAATTAAGTCCAAAAACATTTTTGCCTTAATTTGTTATATTAAAATATTACAAAACATGGTTCAACATAATACAAGTTAAAAAACATAGTTACAGTACATAATATTTTGTAATTCATATGTTAGCGTCCATCTCAATATTTTGGAAGATGTGGACAATGTTTTCTATTATGACCTTCACCTCTAGTGGCCACAACATTTGGGTAAACCTGACTCTCTTTGCGGATCATCCATATCGGTATGAATTCGGCTAGATTCAGGCCGACCTTGTAACTTCTTACGCAATTGAGGATTTGGAAACCATTCCTTAGAAATTGTGCATGTAGGCTAGTATACTTCATTTGGGAGGTACTTGAACTCACAACTGTAAATGTTGCGCATAGTGTGCAAGCTATAACAATCATAACATATAAGTATGGGCCAACATTGATGTGCATACATGCAGTAATAGCTTGAGCGCATGGAAACCTAAAAGCTTGAAATCGACCACATTCACACCATCTTCTATTCAGACTACCAGTGTATGTTGTAGAATTACCTCCCTCATATGGTTGAACTAGTCCTTGGACAATGAAATTAGAATCAAGTCTGGCA